GCTATCAGATGGGCGATTTTAGTGAATGAGCCCACCCAGGGCGGTTTCACAACTGGTTGTTTTCTTCCCAAACTGAACACTAGCCGATCACTATTGGCAGATCAAGCCAGCCCCTAGCCTAAGCGGGCTTATTCTGCCTCTCCTCCTGCTGCCCCCCTCTAATTGCGATGTGATATACTATACACCCAGCTATATGAGTTTGTATTGCACCGTGTGCTGCACATTACTATGTGCGTTAGGCAAAGTGGTAACTACGATATAATATTCCACTTATTACTTGAATTTAGGCTCCTGAGTCTTACAAAGACGTCACAGACGTCGTCAATACTTGCGACGTTGCGGGAATCAGTAAGAAATCGGTGAAACTCCGACCTATCGCGGTCATTAAGGGTTGAATTTCCACCTAAAGGCGAATGGCATGCTTAGCTTATGATCTTGTTATTTTGTAGTCGTTGCGATCTGTGAGGTTACGTTATTCAAATTCGTTAATTATTGTTTGTCTTCTCAGTCACGGGATTGTTAATATTGCTGTTTTCTTATTTTGTGCATGAAGATGATTTTGTCATTGACTTGGTTTATCATGTTCTTCTCTTAAATATATTAGTAAATCTTCTAGACCAGTTCCTTTCTTGGCGGAGACGAAAAATGACGGATACTCCGGAAACAGACTTCGAGTGGAGTCGTTGTTTTGCTAAAAATGCAGGAAAATAAGCTTTAGGGTTACAGTAGTAATGGAAAAATTGTGATATCAAGCGGTACGGAGCCGCTAGGTGACTTACTGTCGGATCGAGATCAATTTTGTTGAAAACAATAGCAGTAGGCCGATCGGAAAGTCCACTTTGATATTCTTCTAGTTCAGCCCGTAACAAATCAAACTGCTCTCGTAAATCACCTAATGTGATATCTAATACGTAAAATAGGCACCTGCAACAAAGGGTTTCCCAACGTTTTTCAAATAATTGCTATAATTTACGAGATACCTGCATCTTTCATGTGTTTGAAGAAACGATACACCAGACGCGAATCCTCATGCGCCCCTCAGATGAGTCCAGGCAATATCCGCCATCCCAAAGTAACTGTGAATAGAGGCATGTGAGTGATTAGAATCTTTGTGGCACACGCGAAAGGTTCAGAACTTGAAAACCCGGTAAAGGTGGTCATGTCAGATGTCCGAGTCCCAGAAATGCTCTAGAGAAGTATGGGTCATTGAAGGCATAGGCATGATTTGGTGCTGGTTCAAAAATGGTAGCAGAGGTGCCATACTGTAAAAAATGACTTGCTTCTGGACGAACATTTTTGGGAAAGCTTCCCGATGGCATCGTTCCAGCAACCGCATTGGTATTAGGTTGTCCCAAAAGTTCGTGGACATTTTTTGAATCTCGTATCAGATCTTTCCGCAGCCATTTCGAGATCCAGTTATGTGGTCTATGGGAAGTGTGTTAAGTAAGCATAACCACAGCTTCTTTAACGTAAAGTCGCTGTTCTCATATCCTGTAGTTGAAATTCATCATTTTCGACACACTTCGCTATATGAATCTCCACCAAGCCACAACGTGGTTGGAGCCACAAGCGGCATTTCTCTGAGTTAGGTCCTGATGGTACCTTCCACAGTACGGCGTTGAAATGGCCCGATCGCTTTCGCTTGAGTGACTTCTACCTGGGAGAAAAACTTCGTCCAAGGAGGCCACCTGCCTTGGATTTGGACCTACTGTGTTCCTTGATTAAAACCAATTCGTACAAATCAACTTGCTATCTAGTCCTTACACTTGACTGGTCCCAAAGCACAAATGAGAGAGGCCTCGCTTCCTTAGAAAGTTCTGAAGTTCGGTCAAAATTTTTCTCATGAGTTGACCAGTACTCCAAGGGGAGCACATGTGGGTACTGTCTACAACTTCTCTCCCGCTTCCGCTGTACGGACTGGTTGAACAGCACTGTAACTGGATATGGAGTGGTGCCTCTAGGTGAATCACTCCCGGAAGCGCCAGCGGCTAGATCCCCAGAAAGGGCAGAACCGATCGCGCAATCCTATCAATCCAGTAGGGCGGTGAGACTGTGTATGTGGTGGGGTTTCTTTCTCCCTTCCCAAACGGAATTTCTTCTTCCAACGCTGTGGTAACCAGGGAACCCTATTGTAATCAACTGCAATGGGGTTGAAAATCTCCACCATGTGGTCCCAAAACCCATCAATGTTTGCCTACTCCACTGTAGTTCAGGGTCACACACTTTGGAAAAATGACACTGCTCGAGATCCTGAAGCTTAGCTGGGGAATTCCACCACAGTCTTCGTGTAGCCCTGACTTAGCTCTTTCCGATCGCCT